TAATGCCACTGAATTGTGTTCTTGCTGCTGCTGCTGTGCTGCTGCTGCTGCTGCTGCTGCGTTGCTGCTGCTGCTGCTGCTGCTGCTGCTGCTGCTGCTGCTGCTGCTGCTGCAGGCTGAAGGAAAAGTTAACCCCCCGGAGCACAAGAGTGACGTCCCTGGTAATAGACATAAACCTGCAGCAGCAGCAGCAGCAGCAGCAGCAGCAGCAACAGCCGCAGCAGCAGCAGCAGCAACAGCAGCAGCAGCAGCAGCAGCTCTCTGTTTTCATCTGCTTTACCCCATTTTGTTTTTTGTTTTTTTTGTTGCTTTTGTGTCTGTCTTGTCTCCCTTGTCTGTTTATTTTATTTTATTTTATTTGTTTTGTTTTTGTTTATTTTTTCTGTCTCCTTTTATTTCTGTCTCCTTTTTATTCTTTTCTTGTTTCTCTATATCTGTCTCTTTTTTCTTCCCTTTCTCTTTGCTTTTTTATTATTCTTCCTTTTTATTTGTTTATATTTTATTTATTTATTTATTTATATTTTATTTATTTATTTATATTTTATTTATTTATTTATTTATTTATTTATTTATTTATTTATTTATTTTTATCTTTTTAGTTGTATTTGTTGGTGGCTTAACCCGTCGCTGTCTCTCTATCTCTGTGTATCTGTCTCCTTTTTTTTTGTTTTTTTTCTCAATTTCTCTTCTTTTTTTTTCTTTTTTCTCGCTATATATAAAATTAATTATTATTTATTTATTTATTTATTTATTTTTGTCTCTTTAGGTGTATTTTTTGATGGGGTAACCTCTTGTTGGGTGTGTCTCTTGCACTCTAAGAGCCGTCCCCTCTCTCGTTCCTTCAGTGTAGAGCATCACGGCTTCGCAGAGGCCAAGGCCCTAGCAGAGGCTGCTGCTGTTCAGCACAAGCAGCAGCAGCAGCAGCAGCAGCAGCAGCAGGAGTAGCAGCAGCAGCAGCGGGGGTGCCGGCAGAAGGAATGGCAGCAGCAGCAGCAGCAGGAATTGCAGCAGCTGCTGCAGCAGCTGCTGCAGCAGCTGCTGCTGGAGAAGCGGCGCATGCAGCACGCACGTAGCTGCAGCTTTGGCATCCTTCTATCTCTAGCAGCAGCAGCAGCAGCAGCAGCAGCAACAGCAGCAGCAGCAGCAGCATGAACAGCAGCAGAAGCAACAACGACAGGGACCCAAGCATCAGCTACTCCGTTAGCAACATAACGCTGCTGCTGCTGCGCCTGCTGCCTCACTTGCTGCAGCAGCAGCACAAGTCTTCGCGCTGCTGCTGCTGCTGTAGCACCTGAAGCACTCAAGACATT